ATCTGTAAGCTTCATTCCCTCAGTTCTTTCTGGCCCATGTTTATGCTACTGGTATCTGTCTGGTTGCTACTGCTGCACAAGAGTGACACTTGGCCTGATACATGCTTAAATTGAGTCTTTTTTTATTTGTTTGTGTCTACAAATGAGAAAAAAAATAAAATTCTATTTTAGTTATACTCACATTTTGGAAAATATCTATTTCGTTAACATTTTTAGTTGACATTTTTATGCAGGATAAATGCATGGTAATTGTAAATTGCAGAATTGCAATTGTATTAATAAAATAGTTGTATTATTTCAAGGATAACCATATATTTTTCGTTTTATTTAGAATGCTAGTTGAGTTTCAACAATGTCACATTTTCTAGAAACCTGAAAATAAATCAGGATTTATTAAGGCTGAACTTACACAGCAGAGAACATGCTCATGGTCAGGAATTTGGCATAGGACACGTTGTTTGCTTTCACCACTGTGTGATTCATCAGAACTCTTGCTAGGCTAGTAGTCACAAAGCAGTGCAGTGTGCTGCCAAAGGCGTCAGCAGTCTTGGCCACCTTCATGCTATAAATTTAGTGACACAACTGTGGCGGCTGTGGCAGGTCTAATAGGGAGGCCACCTGGTGAGCAGCATTCTGAGCTTGTACAACCATGAAGCTTCACAATACAAATTTAATAGCTTAGATCTTGGAAGCATCAGAGATGCATCAGTACAGCATCACATCTGAACTGAAAAGCCCAGCTTCTCTGCAAGGCTAAACAGAGGCTCTTTCAGTCGTTTGTTTCTGCAAAGACCTTTGAATAACAAAATGAAAAATCTATTCTACTTGTCTTCAGATTCTGGAAAAAATTTTAATGATGAATACACCTGCACTGCTGCCATGTTGAGCTGATTTAGTTGGTTCTAGATTAGAGATGTGTGTACCTTTTCTATTGTGTCCTGTAAATGTGTGTAAATGAAACGCAGACATTGCAATCCAGCTAGCTATGCAAGCCATCAGGAGTTGAGACACAGTAGACTGGTACCTGGCATTTAAGAACAAGGAATGGGAATGCCACCCACTCTTTGTTAAAGATTTTACTGGTGTAACTGTAGCTGGACATGTCCTGGTGTAGCTGTGCAAGGCATACTACTGTCTTCCTATCCAAAATAGCAAAGCACTTGGAGATCTGTGTATGGAAAGTGCTACATGGGAACTGCATTAACGTTATTCCTCATTAGAAGGGAAACCATAACCATTGTTGTTATTCCCTGTAGAAGGGAAACCAAACCACTTTCACTAAAGTCTGTGTTCTCTGGAGTCTCAGAAGAGGATTAAGTTCTGTGATTAGGCTAATTTAATAGGAGTGTTTTAATTATTTGATACCACACAAAAAATGGAATTACTGACTTTTGCATCCTTTCCAAATGTGACATTTCCAAGCAGGTCTGTAATGGCAGTCTTAAAGGACTGGTGCAGTCCCCGGCACAGCAAAACCTGTTGCTAAGCAACCAATATAAGTGTGCTGCTCAACATTTATTTCATTTGGAAAGGGACATATTCTTTAAGTACTCCATCTTAGCTACCAAGCACAAAGAGTTTTCCAGTTGTTTTTCCAGAGCTGTGCACATGTGTGAAATAGCCCGTTTTCACACACAAGTGTGCAATTTAAAGAGCAGGTGCCAGAGAAGAAGATGCAAAACTGAAGGCTTGAAAAACTGGCACAAGTATTTTAGCGCTTCCTACCATCAGCGTCCTGAATTTGCCTCTCTGTTTCTGTGTTCACCCTACTTGAAAACAGGCTGCCTTGACAGAGCTGTCTGCAGAGTTTACCGATGTGTGTTGATGCACCGTCTCTTGAAGAGTGCTGTGTCATGGTTTTCCCACAGGTATGAGGAAGCGCTTTCTCCCTGATAAACAAAGGCCAGAACTGGACCCCCACTTTCCATCCTGAAGACTCCAAATCTTGGATTCTCTAATTGTTTCAGAAAAGCAGCTAAACAGCTTTGGAAAAGAGCATTTAATGCCCTACATCTAACACCACTTTCACTTTAGTGCTTGTCCCTGTAGTGAAATAAATCCCTGTAGTTCTGCTAGACTTGTGCCTGCATATCTGAAATCAGCCCTGGCCTGAATAGTCTCTAGCTAAATTGTCCTGAAGCAATTGTTCATCATGTTTCCCAGTCCAGACCCACACAAATAGAAATCGGATAATGCACCAAAAAAAGTATGGGAGGTTGGTCAAAGTCAAGAATGCAGTTTGGTTTCCAATGGCCATAATAAATATATGTTTTATTGCATGTGATCATAAAGACACATATGCCATGCATAAATGAGGCAGGTGAGGGATGCCATCTTAAAGTATCTTAATGTATGGAGGAGGCTACTTTGCCTGTATGCATTGTAGTTCTCCTCTCTAGCAGGTGTAGCAAGTACATTCATTGACTGATCTTTTTTTCTGACCAGCTTTGTGGTCTCAACCAAAAGTTCTAGGATGTAAATTTTGTGGGTAGCCCACAAATGGGTACAGTTCAGGTCTTATGTGGGCCTACAAATGGTAAAGTACAACTTTTTGTTGCCCTGGACATTGTACATGTGAGAATTTCCAGCTGGTCCCAACCACCTGCCTGACAGATAGCACAGTGAATTTAAGCTCAGCTCTCTCTGTGTAGGGCCATCTGAGACAGCTGCAGGTTTTCCTGGCTAATGTTGGCAATTCCTGCACCTCTGTGTCACACTCCAGAAATTCACAACCAGGTGGAGACAGATAGCAAAGGGCCATGCTAAAAACCATCGTGTTGCACTAGGACACAAACTCAGCATAGAGACTGAGAGGCATAAGTCACTCACTGGTATCAGGTAGGTTGTCCAAAGTATCAGTGAAGGTGTCCGGTTTTTCAAAGTCATGCACTCAAAGTAGGTAGGGTGCCTGGGTACCTGAGGATGCTTTTGTTCATAGCCACTGATGATCTTTCTGTTGATGATCCAATGGATCATATCAGATACAGAGAGATGTCTTACCGTCCCTTTGATCAAGTGAAATGGATACAAATTTTGCTTTTTACTGGTATGGTTTCCAAATGATTTTGTTAAATGAAATGCTATGTGGGCGTACTGCACTGTTTGCAAGCTAAGCTGTGTCTTGGGAGCAGCAACTAACAGCTCCATCTTTTTTTAGACCTGAGAAAAGTAAAGCACAGTGTTGAAGAAATGCTGCTGATCTCTACATGGTAGCCTGCAACTAGGGTGATTTATGAGAAGCAGCTAGGTGTCAGAGTATTCAGATGCACAATTCTCTTCATGCCCCTCTTCCTTCATTAGTACCTCTGCTTTCTATGCTTAAATAGGGAATTGTCTTCCAGACATGTCTTTTTTTGAAAGACTCACCTTAATTCTTTGCATTGTGTCTATGGATTCATGTCTGTCCATTCATATGGATTCATAGACACATGACACATTCATGACGCAGCGTTCCCACAGCTGAATCAATACTTCTTTCTTATCTCTGCTTGTATATGCAGGAGCATTGCTTGCCAACAGGCTAACACTATAGTCCTAGATCATATAACATAGCTGTCACATTTGGGAGCAAGAGAGCTGCTTAACCTGGCAGCCTGGTCATGAAGAGATTGGTTTTGATTTTGAGATAGAAATAATTGCTATTTTCAATCCCATGGTTTTGATCCATTAAAGTGAACTATTGGCTGTCCTGCTTTATTTAGGGAATACTCTCCCAGAGCTGCTGCTTCCTATTTCTTTTGAACATTCAATCTTCAGTGAACTGGCACTGCAGAGAAGCACACCATCAAGCAACCAACCAACCCTGTCACAAAGAGTTGACTTGAAGAATAAGTCTGAGAAGGTTAACTGACCAAATCAAAAGCAGACTTGTTTAATGAGCGAACAAGCAGAGAAATACAAAAGTCCAATTTTTTTTTTTATCAAGTCAACAAAGTAACAAAGACAGAAAAAGGATGGAACAAAATGGGCCACTTGTTTTTCAAGTTGCTTGATTTCAAGTTGTAAGATTCACAACAGCATTTACGTTTTAAAAAATCAGCATTTTTCACTAGAAACCAATTAATCAAGAAATGGTTAACCAGATTTTGCGAGACACCATGTGAATAGCATACATTGAAATAAAACTATAGAGGAAATAAATTACAGAGGGAAAAATGGAGCACAAATAAAAGGCAAGGGTATCTTCAGGAGAGAAGCATAATACTAAATTGAGTAACGGGCAAAAAATGACATGTAGTTTCACAGAAAATCTGAGCTATGTCCAGTTAAGCTGAACTTAGGATACGGAAACTCTTTGCCATGTTATCTAGTGCGCTCCACTAGTGTTAATTACTAAGGTAATCTGAGCCCTTCTCTTGCCAGATCTTGAGCCAGCTTGAGAGGTTGTAAGCACCAGTATGCAGTAGCATGTGTAAATATCCCAAGTGAACTGGTAATCAGAAGGGGGAAATAAAGTGCGGAGCATAGATTTGGGTGTTTTACATAACTTTAAAGAAAATGCAAGGGAAGGAAAAGAGAGTAGATGAGGTATGACTGTCTGCTAAGGGTATATTATATGGTCTCTACAAATTATTTTAGAATCTAAGTGGGAGAAAGAAGGAAATTCAGCATGTTTAGTACATTTATTCTAATTCAATTTTCTTGAATGATTTTCAACTGTAAACAAGCTTACATTTTAGATTCTGTGTAAAATAAAACCCTTCATAGTGCCAATATAAACATACGTTTTCCCTTTGCCCTCAGTCAGCTGTAGTTTATGCATTAACAGGGACTTTTCACTGGAAGCCTTTGTTCTTTTACAGAGCCACTCCTCTGGGATTTAGGCTCCCTGGTTGGCCATTGTACCTCGCTGTCCTGATAAGACAGCAGGTGGATCTGAACAGCAGACAAAGTTAATAACCT